CCATTTTTTGTCAAATCAATTAATAATAGTTTTATTTATTTTTTATTTTTTTTATTTTTTTTATAATTTTTTTTAAAATATTAATTAGTTGATTCTTCACCATCATTATTAGGCACACCACCAATCATCGGTGATGGTATTTATGATATTTATTCAAATCCACCATTTGAAAACAAATATAATAATGGTAATGGTGCCATTGGTGGAGGTAATAATAACATGTACAGAGGTTTCAATAATATGGGTGGTAGTATGATGAACAATGGTATGGGTAGTGGTATGATGAACAATGGAATGACTAATAATGGTATGAATCAAAATATGGGTAATAAAAAGTTCCAAAGTGTTGGTCCAAATGGTTCAAATCTTTTTGTCTATAATATTCCAAATTATTTCACTGATCAAGAACTTTCAACTTTATTCCAACAATACGGTAATGTTGTAAGTGCTAAGGTCTATTTAGATAAAAACACTGGTGTTAGTAAAGGTTTTGGTAAGTTATAATTTTACAGATATATATTATTAATTCTGTTATTAATGTTCTTTTCTTTTTTTTATAGGCTTTATTAGCTATGATAATCCAACTTCAGCTAGCTTGGCCATTTCAAATCTTAATGGTTCAATGATGGTTGGTAAAAAACTTAAAGTCTCTCTTAAACAAGCAGGACATGGCTCTCAACCATATTAATATTAATATGATTAAAAAAAAAAAAAAAAAAAAAAAAAAAAAAAAAATATTAATAAATAACAATAAAAAGTAATAGTATAAATAAAATAATTATAATAATAATAACAACAACAATAATAATAATAATAATAATAATTGGATTTATAAAACACAATCAATATTAATATGATAAAAATAATAGTTTATTCATCATACTCAAAATAATAACAGTAAAAATATAATCATTACCCAATCATATAGTAATAATAATATTAATAATATAATAATATTAGTAATAGTAGTAGTAATAGTAATAATAATTACAATAATAGTATAATAATAGAAAATCATTATAATTTTAAAAGAGGAAAGAATGTTAATTTTGTATATTTTTCATTTTGTTTCGTTTACTTCCCTCCTAGTAACTCTCTTTCCATGTTATCGTGCTTGTTTCCGATTGGCTAAACACTTTCTTATCACATTGTTATTTTCGAACCACCTTTCTTCCTTTTTCTTTATTTTGTCATTTTTTATCACATACACTTATATTGTACATCATAAAGGATTGGTTGTTTTGGTTAGTAGAAAACAATAATGTGGTTTGATGTTTTGTTTAGAGGTTTAAATAAAATAGTAGTAGTTTTTTATTTTTTATTGGTTTGGTCAATTGTACATGTTGTAGTTGCACGGGATATGTTATGGTCGTTCTTAACTCATCACTTTATATTGTTTTTTGTAAAAAAAAAAAAAAAAAAAAGAAAAAAAAAAAAAAAAAAAAAAAATAATAATTTTAAACAATTAACATTTATGTTGTTTTTTGTATTTTCAAACCCAAAAAAAAAAACTATGTGTACCTTTATTCTTTTTTTTAAATCTTTATTTTTTAACCTATAAATATTTTATTTAAATTTATTTTTTTCTCTTATTCTATACATGTTATCTATACTTTATAATACTTTTTTTTTTTATTATTTTTATTTATAATTTATAATTTATAACCTATAATTCTATTTATTTTTATTTTTTATTTTTTATTTTTATTTTTTATAATTTTCATTTTATTTTTTATTTTATAATTTATAATTCCATTAATAATTATTTATATTTATGTTTATATTTTATATTTTATTTTATACTTTATAATTTATATTTATTATTTATTTATATTTTATAATTTATTGTTTATTTTTTAATTTATTAGTTTTAATTTTATTTTTTATTTTTTATTTTTCATTTTATTTTTCATTTTTCATTTTTCATTTTATGTTTTATTTTTCATTATTGGGTTTTTATATATTATTGAAATTTCTTTGAATTGGCCCAACCATTTGTTCCCCTTTATTATTGTTATTATTGTTATTATTGTTATTGTTTGTAGTCTTATTATTGCTATTGTAGTTTGTGGATGTATTAATACTTCTAATTGGTGGTTTAAGTGTCAGTGATATATGTTGTTGTTGTTGTTGTTGGTGGTGTTGGTGTTGGTGTTGTTGTGTATTGTTTAAAAACTGTTTTACAGTTGGTAAAGTTGGTTTTGATATCCCCAAACTACATTTTTGATTTGTTTTATTATTTAAATTTTTATTAATACTATTGTTATTCATATTGTTATTAATACTATTGTTTTTTGTTATTATTGTTGTATTTGATGGTTGATTTGAACTTGAATTTTTTAAACCTTTAATTTTATTTTGCATTCTTTTGTTTTAATTTTAAATGTTAATAATATTATTTTTAATTTTAATTTTAATTTTTTATTTTTTACTTACGATAATAATTCTTCATCAAAGATAAAGTAACCAGTATTTAGTTTTTGAATTTTGTCATTATAGTTTTCAATTTCAATATTTTTCCTTTTTTTATTTTCTTCTAAATCTATTAATAAAATTTTAAATGTAAGTATATTTTTTTCTTTTCTTTTCTTTTCTTTTCTTTTCTTTTCTTTTCTTTTCTTTTCTTTTCTTTTCTTTTCTTTTCTTTTCTTTTCTTTTTTTTTCTTTTCTTTTCTTTTCTTTTCTTTTCTTTTTTCTTTTCTTTTTTCTTTTTTTTTTTTTTTGATGATGTATAGTTACCTTTTAATTTTCTTTTATAATTTCCATAATCACATTCAAATCTCTTTTGAATTGTTTCATTTTGGCCAATTTTCATATACAAATCCTTTAAATAACCCAATGATTCTTGTTGTATTTTCAGTTTTTGAATATTTTTTGTTTCTTTAATATTAATTGGGTTTGTATAGAATTCAATAAACCAATCAAAGTCTTTAACCCTATCGTAGTAATATTTTCTAAATAAATAAATAAAAAAAAAAAAAAAAAAAAAAAAGTTAATATTTAAATAAAGTTTAATTTTTTAGATAAAGTTTAATTTTCTTACCTTTCTTCATTTCTTTTTTTTATTATTTCTTCGAGTTCATTTTCTAATTGTTGACTTTTTAATTTTAATTCATTTTCTTCTTTTAACTCGTCATTTGTTAATAATTCTAATTGTTTTTGTATTACTTCTATTTTTTTTATTGTTTTTTCGAAATTAATATTATCATTTTCTATTATTAATAATTGGTTTGATATATTGTTGGTGTCTTCTATGGAGATTTGAAGTTTTTTATTATTTAGTTTTAATCTTTCAGTTATTGAAAAAAACTTTATGGATAATATTTCTAGATCGTCTACTATTTTATTATTTATGTTATCTTTATTATTATAAGAACTATTAAAACTTATTTCGCTTATAACTGTTTCTGTACTGCTATTATTAAAACTATTTGTACTATCACTATTCATTGTTGGTGTGTGGGGGGTTTAAATAAAAAAATGAATGTTTTTTTTTTATTTTTTTTATTTATTTTTATTTTTACTTTATTTTTATTTTTAATTTAAATTTAATTTATTATAAAAAAATATAAAAATTATTATTAATTCTTTATTTGGTTATAAAATTATTTTTTTAAGATTGTAATTTTTTCAATATCAATGGTATTACCTTGACCAAAAAGTAATAAAGATTTATTTGAATCCTTATTAAAGAAATTTAATTCCTCATTAATATTTAATGGGTTATAATATTTTGTAGTTTCGGGATTATCGAGATGAACTAAGCCTGATCTGTTTTTACCTGAAATAAAAGTTGAATCCAATAATGAAATTGAACCAAAACATATATTTACGGCATCTGGGAATACTGATTGCTCTTGACCACCTGTGTAGAGGATTAAATTTTCTTTATATTTATCTGAAAGGAAATGACCGACTTTATCTACCATAAATACCATTTTACCATTTACATGCCATTCGATAGTTTTCTTTTCTTTATTATAAATAATTGATAGATCTTGGAATGAGTTATCATTTTCTACATTTAATACTGGAACTGTATAAATAAATGTAGCATAGTCACCATAAATTTGTTTTGAAACTGATAATCTTTCGTAAAGTGCATAAACCATTTTATTTGTAATAAGGAAATCGGATATAATACTTGTTTTGAAGTCTAATACATTGAGCACGCTGCTTGCTAATCTATAGTCAGCTTGGGCATCGGTTACAAAGTTTCCAAATGGATGTTTATCAACGTTTTGTGTTTTACCTCTAGCTGAAAAGTTTACCATTAGGGAGCCAGTTTCGGGAATAGTGAATGAATCACCATTAACAGCTAAAAACTTGATGTGGTCTGCAAAGCTATGCTCTAAACTATCAGTATATGGATTAGAGTTAACTCTTAAAAAACCTTTTTCTCTTTTTATTGAACCTTGGTTTCCAACGTAGGAGCCCCATTGAAAGAAATTCCATTCTCCTTTATCTAAATTATTTAATGTTATCTCTTGTGATTCATTTAGTTCTTTATGAGTATAATCGAAAGTTTTTAAAATTTTAAAATCGCCTTCGTATGGTAAACTTGAATGATTATTATACATTGGTTTTGGTGATGATAATATTTCTAAATTATCTTTTACAATACCTTCAATTGTTTTATATTTCTTTAAAGTTATTGTTTTAATAGGACTATAATATTCTTTATATAATAACGGTGAATGAGTGGATAGTATATCACTTATATGAGTATCAAAAAGTGTTATGCTTGATATTAAAACTATCAACGAAATAAATAAAAAAGATACAAAAGAGTTTTTTTTCATTTTATATATAAAATTTATTTAATTTATTTTATTTATTATTATTTTATTTTTGTTTGTAATATTTTTTGTAGATAAATTATTATTAATAATTATTATTTTTTATCTAAAAGAAATTTAACAAATTAAAAAAAAATTTATTTAAAAAAAAAATAGAAAAAGAAATAGAAATTTTTTTTTTTTTCATTTTCTAAAGTGTAGTTATGTTTTATAAAATAATCACCCCCACTTATATTAACACATCACCGTTTTTAAAATATTTTTTAAAAAAAAAAAATAATAAAAAATACATATTTTTTCATTTGTGAAACCATTTAATTATTTTTTTTTTAAAAAAATAGATGGTATCAAAAGCTTTTCAAAAAAAAAAAAAAAAAATCTTGGGAAAGGTGATTATCATTAACGATTATTTGAAAAAAAAAAAAAAAAAAAGCGCGTGGTTATAAAATTTTTTTTTTTTTTATTATAAAATGTATCATCAACAAATCTGATAATTTTATTAATTTTATATTTATTTACCATCAATAAATCTTAAAATCTTTCTATATATTTTTGCAATAGGACGGTCGGATACAAAATCGTTACCAGTAAAAGTATTTTTGAATCTTCTAATGAGTATATTTAACATTGAACCAAAGAAAAGAGCGAAAACTGTGCCAGTGAGGGTGATAACATTGTAAAGCATACTGAAATCTGGAGTTGGGAGAGTGATTAATAAACCTTCGGTATAGATTCTAATTGGTACTATGCTTTGTTGTTTTTTGTGTTGATAAGTCTCTGTTGACCATTCTAAATTAATAGCATCGTCTTTTAATGGTGTATTTTTATTTTTCTCTAAATCTATATAAGCTGTAACGACACCTGAGCCTAAATCGAAACCTCTATTAGCATCGGGTGGATGCTCTGTATAGTGTAAAAATACTTTGTCGAAATCGACAGAGAATGAAGCTACTGAATTTGGGGGCATTTCAAATGACAACTCTATGGATGATGGTGATGAACGGGTTTCAGCTGGAGAAATTTTCTTAAAGAGGAAGTCACGATCTGCATACTCCTTGTTGTTGATATTAAATTTTAAAGTATGGAAATATAAACGAAGATACCATGGAATGGCTTGGAAATAGGTGATATTGACAGGATGGTTTTGATTATTAAAAATTTGAGTTGAAATACCACCTCTTTCTTGGCCATAACCTGTTAAATGAGTATGTGCAACCACTGGTGTTGGATATTTATTTGATCTATCGAAATTTCTGTACCAATTTAATTTTAATTTCAATGGTTCTTTGTATTTTTTAAGATCGTAAACTAAATATTGTTGATTGGATTGTTGCGATTCTGGATCTGGTGATACCTTTAAACCTGTTTCTAAATTATCTTGTTTTTGAATATAAACTTTACTTGTTGATGCTAAAGGACATGCTGATAAACCGCTATCTTGATGTTTTTTGCCAAGTAATTGATCGACTGAAATCTCTACTATTTCTTGTTGTTGATTCAAGTCATTCACTATGGTTAATGATTGAACAATCTCTAAAGTTGGTGCTAAACATTCGCTATCTTCATTTTTACAAATCTTTCTAATTGTAATTGACATTGAATGATAATGGACATCATAGAGTTTATTTGGTGCTAAAAGTTTACCAATTCCACTTTGTTCACGGCATGGTAAAAGTTTAATCCAAGGTGTAAGATTCTCTGTACAAACTGATTCTCTTGGTAAAATACCATATCTTAATTCCAATGGTACAACCTTGCTTGTGCCATTTTGTGGATTGGTAATTTCAATTGCTGGTACACTATTTCTAGATTGTTCCATATCACCATTATAATAAATATTTGATGAACCTTCTGGTCTAAATGATTGTGATGGGAATGAAGTATGATGGGGTACTTGATATAAAAATTGCATACTAGCACAAAATAAACCTGATAATGAATTTGTTAATTCTTTCCATTGTGCATCAACACTATAATATATATATAAATAAAAAAATTAATATTTCAGTTTTTTTTTAATTTAAATCCTAGTATTTAGCTTACCCTTTTTCTGGTAATGGTTTCATCCATGATATTAATTCAACACCAACTGGGGCAGCTCTTACTGGATAGCCCCAATCTGAATAACTCCATCTACCTTGAGTAAATACTAATGTAAGCTCTTCAATTCCAACTCTTGTTATTAAATCTCCAATTGATCTTGGGAATAAGTCATAATGTTGAACTATAAAGATTTATAAAAATTAATATTTATTATTTAATTATATAATTATTTATTTATTACTTACAAGTTGATTTATCTAAAAAATTTGAATTCCATTCGGTTGTAAATTGTGCATGTGTCATTACCTTTCCTTTTGGAAGAGGTTTAACAATTAATTCTTCAGAAAATGATTGTGTTTCTTCAAAATTTACATGATCATTTTGTTTTGTTGCATTAATATTCAATATATTACTAAATATTAATATTATTACAACAAATGATCCTATATTCAAATTTTTAAAACCCATTTTATAATTATAGGTTTTTAAAAATTTGAATAAAGATATATTATATATTATATTATTAATTAAAAAAAAAATTATAAAAATATAAAAAAAAAAAAAATTTTAATTTTAAAATTTTTTTTTTTTTTTTTTTTTTTTTTTTTTTTTTATAATTAATTTTCATAAAAACACAGTTCACACAAATCCTTTTTTATTTTATTTTAATTATATAAATATTTAATTTCTTTTTACAAATTTTATATTAAATGGTTTTGGACGGATAGTAATAAAAAACAATTCTTTTTCATCAATTTTTTTAATTCCATTTTCACTTTCCAATTTGAAATTTAATAATAGATTACAGAGGAATATATTAATTTCAACTTTGGCAATTTGTTCACCAGGACAACGACGTTTGCCCATTGAAAAAGGATTCAAAAGCTTCTCAACTTTGTTATAGTACTTTTCTTTACCCTCTTCATCAGTTTTAATACAATCATCATTGTTGCTATCATTGCAATCTATCCATCTTTCAGGTTTAAAATGTTCATGGTCTTCAACAAAACGTTCCGAATTATTTAAACCGTAAATATTTTGAAATATCATGGTCTAAATTAAATAGTTCAAGTATTTGTAAGTGTTTTAACATATATATTTTAATATTGGAGATATATTACTTACATTTTTAGGTATAAAATATTCATTGTTTTTACCAACATAGGCATCCTCACGAGAATATCTAAATACACCAAGTGGAACTGCAGGTTTTAATCTCATTGTTTCTTTTATGCAAGAGTTGAACAATGGCAATTTAAGTGTATCACTATAGCTTAGATACTTATCATAAGCAAATGTATTTAAAATTTCGTTGTAAACTTTTTCTTGTATCTCAGGGTTGTTAATCATAAACACAATAAACCACTCTATTGTCGAAACAGTTGTATCGGATCCAGCCAATATTAAATCCAATGAAATATTTTTAATAAATTCCTTGTCACCATTAGTTTCAATAATCAATTGATCAAACAAATCTATTGGGCTTTTTTTTTTAACAAACAATATAGTTATTAGTTTAAATATAAGTATAAAAATAAATTTTAAAATATAAATACTTTTTTATATCCAAATTTTCAAGATGTTCATTATAAATATCCTCTAATATATTCATTATATATTTAAATTCTCTTTCAAAACTTTTACCGTTAAAATAAAAAAAGGGTCTTAATATTGATATGAAATCTGATAGATTTCCTTTACCCAAATGATCAAAAACATTATTAACAGATTTTACAAATTTAGTTGCATTTTCATCTTGGTTTTTGTTATCTGTTAGCTTTTTTGAAAATAACAACTCCATCAAAATATTTAGGGAAAATCTTTTTATCATATTATCATTTGAACTCTATATAAATAATTTTTTCAAAATTATTAATGTAAAAATAATAAAAAATAGTTTTTAAAATAATTAAAATATTACATAAATAAAAGAGCCATTATTCTCACATTTTTTTTTAATATTTTCCCATAAATGATTTAGTTTGTTCATCTATAGTTTTTGAGGACTTTGAAATAATTTTTGTTTTGGTTAATGATGAAATAACAATTAAATGAACTTTAGACCATATTTCAAAATCTGATAAACCCATATTTTGAAAGTTATTTGAGAATAATTTATAGCTTTTTAGTTTAGGTCTTGATGAAAATTTAAAAAAATCAGTTATCCACATTTGTTTAATAATATCCAAATCTGTAACTACCACAGAGTAAATATCACCAAAGTACATTCTATATATGCCATTATAATTTTCTGCAAGCTTTGTTAAGCCTCTATTAGGGAGTAGTGACACTAGATGGAGATTCCCAAGAACAGGTAGGCAAAGAGGCCCTGGTGGTTCATTTTTATTTCTTTTTATATTTTTTAAAAACTTTTTATTGGCACCAAAGAAAAAAATTAGAAAAGAGTTAATATTTTCAAATAAATAAATTATTTATAAAAAATTATCAAACTTACAAAATCAAAAACCAAATAACCAAATATTAAATAAAACAATATCCCAATTATATCCATGTATACTTTTTTTAATTATTATAATAAAATTAAATTAAATAAAATATTTTGGCATTTTATAATTTTTTCAAATTCATTAATTATTTTATATTTTATAAATTTGAAATTAAATTTTAATTAAGGATTTTTTCTTTAAAATATAAAAATTATCAATAAATTTAGATTATTTATTTTATAATTTTTTTCATATTTTATAAAATTATCTATTGTTTCCAATATTAATTAATATTTTGGAAATTAAAGATAAAATTTTTTTTTTTTCTTTTATTTGGGAATAAATTTAATATAACCTTTACCCCGACATAATTTCACTTCATTATTAATTATAAAAAACCAATTATTATTATTTATGGATAAAGTATATTAATAAAAATTACTTGGGTTTATTTTTATTTTTATTTTTATTTTTATTTAATTTTTATTTATTTTCTTTTGGTAAACTTCATTGAAAAAGGTTTTGGACGGATTGTTATGAAAAATAATTCCTTTTCATCAATTATTCCATTTTCATTTGGATTTGATATCTTGAAATTATAAAATAGGTTGCATAAAAAAATACTAATTTCTACTTTGGCAATTTGTTCTCCTGGACAACGACGCTTACCAATTGAAAATGGGTTAAATAGCTTATCTAGTTTTTGATAGTATTTGTCTTTGTTTTCTTTTTCCATTAAGTCATCATTGAAATCTTGATCATTTTCATTTTTTTCTTCGTTTTTATTATTCATCCATCTATCTGGTAAAAACAAAGAACAATCTTTAATAAAACGTTCTGAATTATATAAACCAAATATATTTTGAAATATCATGGTCTATTAAAAAAAACATATTAGTATTTAATTTTTATATGATCTTGGTATCAATTTACATACGTTCTTTGGTATAAAGTATTCATTATTTTTACCCACATAAGAATCTTGACGTGAGTATCTAAATAGACCCAATGGTGCTGGTGGTTTTATACGAATAGTTTCTTTAAGACACGCATTAAAATACTGTAGTTTTAAAGTGTCATTATAAGAAATAAATTTTATATTGTTACCAAATGTATCTAAAAGCTCTTTATATAACCGCTCTTGCATAACAGGATTGTTAATCATAAATAAAATGAAATATTCAATAGTGCATGTTATAGTGTCAGAACCTGCTAAAATTAAATCTAATGATACATTTTTTATAAATTCTTTATCCCCATTAGTTTCAATAATTAATTGGTCGAATAAATCATTTGGACTATAAAAAAAAATGTTAACAATTATTTAATGAATTTTTAAAGACATTATTATACATACTTATGAGTATCTAAATTAACCAGGTGTTCATTGTATATATTCTCAAGGATATCCATTAGATATTTAAATTCTCTTTCAAAACCCTTTCCCGAAAAATAATATAGTGGTCTTAGTATCGATATAAAATCTGATAAATTTCCTTTACCTAAATATTCAAATACACTATTTACCGATTTAACAAATTCTGTAGCATCATCATTTTGATTTTCATTATTTGTTAATTTTTTTGAAAATAATATCTCCATCAATATATTTAATGAAAATGTTTTAATAATTTTTTTATTAGAACCCTATTATGAATAAAAAAAAAGATTAGTATATTGTAATATAAAAAAAATAAATATTAATACCTACAATAACAAAAGAGCTTGTTTCATTACATTTTTCATTTATATAATATAAAAGTGATTTAGTTTGTTCATCTATTGTAGTGGCTGATTTTGATATGATTTTTGTTTTAGTTAGAGATGATACTATAATTAAATGAACTTTAGACCACGTTTCAAGATCTGATAGACCTAAATTTTGAAAATTATTTGACCATGATTTACAGCTTCGAGGTTTGGGTCTATCTGCAAATTTTATAAAATCATTTACCCACATTTGTTTAATGATATCAAAGTCTGTGACCACCACTGTGTACATATCTCCAAAATATATTCTATAAATACCCTTATATTTATCTGCTAATCTTGTTAACCCCCTATGTGGCAATAATGTTAATTGATGTAAGTTTCCAATTAAAGGTAGAGATAATGGTCCTGGGGGTTCATTTTTTTTTTTTTTAATATTTTTTTTTACCTATAATTTTAAAAAAAAAGAATAATTAATATTAATTATTATTATAAATTAAAATATAGTAATACAGGGACACTAACAAAATCTATAAAAAAATATATTATTATTATATAAAATATAAAATAAATAAAGTTCATTTATTATTTTAAATTTTAAAGAAATAATAAAGTTATGTTATATTAAGCAAATAATTAAAAAAAACATCTTTGTAATTCAAAAAAAAAAAAAAAATAAAAAAAAAAAAAAAAAGAAATAAAAAAAAATAAAAAATTTATTACAGATACACACTTCCAAAAAATAAAAAATTAAAACTAAATATATTTAATAAATTGTTTATTTTCTGATGGTTATATATTTATATGCATATATTTATATATTTATATTTGTTTTTTTTTGACATATTAATAAATAAAATATTATTTCCTTGGTATCAATTTTAAGTTGTGTGGTTTTGGGTGAATTGTAATACCAAAATCTTCAGTTTCATCGATGTGATTTCCATCCCAAGGTTCTATAATATAGTTTAATAAAATATTTGCACATAATACATAAAGTTCCATAACACCAAGATTCATTCCCACGCAACCTCTGGGACCATATCCAAAAGGAATTGAGATCCTTTCTAAATCATTAAAGAATTTATTTTTGTTTTCAATTTTTTGTTCAAAATAATCCTTTTCCTTTGAATCTTCCATTTGATTTATTTTTATTTTTAGTTCTTTTAATTTGTTATACTCTATCCATCTTTCAGGTCTATATACATCTGGATCATCTAAATATCTTTTTGAAGTTCCCATTCCATAAATATTTTGAATAATAAGAGTATTTTTTGGTATGAAATAATTGTTTACTGTAGTATCTTTTGATGTAGTTCTTGGTAACCCTAAACTAGTTGTTGGTTTAACCCCTAAAAAAAAAAATTAAAATTTGATCTCATGTGAATAAAATAAAATTTTATACATACTCGATACTTCACGAATGCAAGCATTAATATAAGGAGTTTTTAATTTTTCAGAATAAGGTATAAATGTACAATCTCTACCAAATTCATCAATAATTTCCTTATATGCTTTTTCTTGAATATCTTTATGATTTGCCATTAACAAAAGAAACCACTCTACAGTTACTCCAACAGTATCAGAACCAGCTATTAAGAAATCCACCATAGATGAGACTACTTCAACTTGATTGTAGTTTGTACCAATAATTAATAAATCCATAATATCTTTTGGATTATCTTGGTCTAATTGTTGAACATGTTGATCATATATTTCATTTAAATATTCTCTAATTGCTTTAAAACTATCCTCATACTCTTTCATTGTCCAATGATAAAAGAATTTTTGAAAGAACATTGAATCTTCGACTAAACTTGCACCTAATTTTTTAAATATAATCTTTTTAGGTTCTTCAAAGATATGCATATCATTCATACCTTCTCCGCAAATTTTTCTTCCATACGAAACATCTGAAACTATGTTAAGTGAGTATGTATGACAATGTAATTTTGGGTAAAACTAAAAAAAAAATTAGTATTACTTTTAAATACTAAAAAAAATATTAAATACATACAGGTTTATTGTTATCTACATGGTCTTTAATTGAATTTAAAAATATATTGGTTTCATATTCCACCAGTGATTCATAGTTTTTAACCTTTGTTTTAGTGAACGATCCTGCAACTAGTTTTCTTATATTTTTCCAAATTTCATCATTTGAAAATGAAAGGTTTCTATATCCCTCTGAAAAGATTTCGAATGTCTTGAAATGAGGTCTATTTACAAAAACATCAAAATGCTCACTTGATGACCAAATTTGATTAATCCATTCTGGGTCAGAAACAACGATTGAGTATCTATCACCTATCCAAAACGAGAATATACCACCATACTTTTCAGATAATTCTTTTACTGAACGATTTGGTAATTCGCTAAATAAATATATATGTCCAATAATTGGTAAACTTAAGTTTTTAATTGCTGGTACATAAGTTTTTGTTAAACTTAAATTTATATTTTTTCTAACCTATAAAATAAAGTATAAAAAAAATTATTATATAAATATTAATATGAGTAATGCAAATATTAATAAATTTTTTATTTTATTTTTTTTATTTTTAAATATTTACAAAATCATAAATACAATATAATATAAATGTTATTAATAAAAATAAAAATGTATTCATTCTAATTCCTATATATATAAAAAAGATGTTAATATTTAGTTTAAAGAGAATAACATAAAATAAACCTACAGTTTTCTTTTAAAAAGTAATTATAAATAAATAAATAAAAAAAATAAAAATAATTTCTATCTTTTGGTTCTCCAAAGGTTTTTCTATTTTGAAAATAATCTAAACTTAGTTCCTTTTAAAAAAAAAAATTACCTATCGAATTTATTTTACTATTAAACTATAAAAGATTTGCATAATATGAAAAATGAAAAAAATGGTTTTTTCGTCGATTGGAACATTTTTTTTTGTTTATTTTATAAATTTGATAAGAAAAAAAAAATAATTAAAAATAACAATAAAAAAAAAAAAAAATCCTTTTTTTTATTTTTTTTTGTATTTTTTTTTTTATTTTTTAAATTAATTTTTAAATTTCATTTTTTTATTTTTTTATTTTTTTTTTTTTATTTTTTTTTAATAAAATATTATTCATTCACATTTATTTTTAAAATATGATCAAAAATATTTTTAATAAAAATAATTGCAAGCTTTTATCATTACAACAACAATATTATAGACAATTAAATTTAGTTAGACTTTATAGCAATATGTCAACAGTAATCAATAGTGACAGATCAAAACTTTTTGTTTCACCAAAATGGTTAAATGACAATCAAAACAATGTTAAAATTGTTGATGCATCATGGTTTATGGGTCACGAAAAGAGAGATCCAAGAAAAGAATATACTCAAAAACAAATTAAAGGCAGCAAGTTATTTGACATTGATGAAATTTGTGACAAGAGTGTCCCATTGCCACACAATCTTCCAAGTGCAGAAGTTTTCGAAAGAGAAATGAAACGTTTAGGTATCAAAAATGACGACCATATTATTATTTATGACACTCGTGGTCAATATGTAGCATCAGCACGTGTTTGGTGGACTTTTCTTGTTTTTGGCCATAATCCAAATAAAGTCAGTTTACTTGAAGGTGGTTTACCAGCTTGGGAAAAGAATGGTTATCCAGTTACTGCAGGCGATATCAAAAATAATACAGACGATTCTGTAAGCTATAAAGCTACTTTTAATAAAGACTTGGTTAAAGATAAACAACAAATGTTAGAAAATCTCACATCAAAGAAATATCAAGTTGTTGATGCAAGATCTGCAGATAGATTCTGGGGTAGAGTCGACGAACCAAGACCAGGTCTTTATAGAGGTCACATTCCAGAATCATTAAATATTCCATGGACTGATCTCATCGATCAAAATAATGGCTACATTCCAAAAGATAAAGTTCTTCAAACCTTTAAAGATAAAGGTATCGATCTTTCAAGTGATATTGCTACTACTTGTGGTTCAGGTACTACTGCCGCTGTACTTTCACTTGGTCTTTATAGTCTCGGCTATCCATTAGCTCCAATTTATGATGGCTCATGGTCCGAATGGGGTCTTCTTAACGAAAAATTACCACGTTCATGTTCTGGAGAAAATTAAAATATAAATAAATAAAATATTTAAAATAACATAATAAATATAACAAACCTATTTAAAATAATATAATAAATATATGTATATTATGTTTTTTTTTTTTCTTTTTTTTATATATAAATATAAATAAAGATTATAATTTATAATTTTATTTGAATTTTATTGTTGTTTTTAATAAAAAATAAATTTACTGCATAATTTTACTATTGATTGTAATTTAAATTTTAGATACTATTTATTTTAAAATATTTAATTATTAGATTATTATTTCTTTTTTTAAATTGTAAAGTTTTTAGAGTTTGATATATTTATTTTGGTCCCAAATAATATTTTCGGTAATTTCGTGAATAGAATTCATACCAGTAAAAGCCATGGATAATTGGAGTTCACTGTTTAATAGATTTAAAACTCTTAAAACACCATCTTTGCCGCCGCAACTTAAACCCCAAATTACTGGTCTACCAATTAAAACAGCATTGGCACCAAATGCCAAAGCTTTAAGAATATCGGTACCTCTACGAATACCACCATCTAAAATGAGTGGGATTTTACCTTGGACTACTTTAGAAATTGCTGGTAAAACTTCGATAGTTGATGGAGAGGTATCTAATTGACGACCACCATGGTTACTAACAATAATACCATCTGCACCATGCTTTAATGCTTCAGCAGCATCTTGTGGGCACATAACACCTTTAACTAAAACTGGAAGAGTAGTAATAGATCTTAACCATTCTAAATCTTTCCAAGTTAATCCTGGATCAATCATTGTTGCCATATATTGATTTAAACCACCTTCTAAATTTGATAATAATAAATGTTCAAAATTCTTTAAAAATAAACCATTTGGTAATTTAAATCTAAAAAAAAAAAAATTAATATTATTATTTGTTGTTGTTTAATAGTTTTATATTTAAACTTACTGATTTTTATAGTCTGCATCTCTTTTACCTAAAAATGGTGTATCTACAGTAACAACAAGTGCTTTGTATCCAAGCTTTTCAACTCTTTTAACTAAATCTTCTGAAACTTTTCTATCTTTAAATACATAAAGTTGGAACCATCCTGGGTTACCATTTGAATGTTTTGATACATCTTCAACAGATGTGGTGGATAAACTACTTAATGTCATAATAGTTCCAAATTCTTTTGCAGCTTCTAAAGTATCCAATTCACCATTTGGATGTGCCATTCTTTGCATAGCCCATGGTGCAATCTAAAGTAAAAATATTAATATTAATATTATTGAAAGATATGAAACTTTTAAAAATTTAAAAAAATCTAAAAAAAAATCTTTTTTTTTTAAAAATTTTTTTTTTAATTATTATTTTTTATAATTATTATTAATTAAATAAAACTTACCATAATTGGAGTTGAAAGATCTTGGCCATAAATTTTAGTTTTAGTTGAAACTTTAGATACATTAACTAATGATCTTGGAACCAATTTGATTCTTGTAAAGGCATTTTCATTCTCAGCTAAAGTAGATTGATCATTTGAGCCTGATGCATAATAATCATATACCATTTTTGGTAACTTTTTTCTAGCCTCCTCTTTCATTTCAGCTACAGTTACAAAAGCATCCATTGGATTAGTTGCCTTGTTTGTAAATTGATTTGATTTATCAATTGTTGTATTAATAATTTTAGCTGGAGCTGAATTCATTTTTGTTTTTGTTTTTATTTGTTTTGTTTATTTTTAATTATTTTTTGTTTTTTATATAAATAACAATAATGATATATGAAGATATTTAAAGTTATTATTATTATTATTATTATGTTATTATATGTTGCTGCTGAATAAAAATAAAATGAACCACTAAATTCAGACCGAAATAAATATTTTAAAAAAAAAAATAAAAAAAAATAAAAAAATAAAATTAAATAAAATTTTATTTTTTTATTTTTTTTTATTTTTATAAATTTAATTGAAATATAGTGAATGATAATACATATTTGGTGAATGATAATTTAAGATTATAATAGTACTACTGTAAAAACAAAAAATAGTAAACATAAAAATAAAAAAACATACCTAAAAGATATTTATGAACTGAAATATTAATTATGAATCCACCACTAAACATTAATGTTTATATTACAAAAAAAAATAAAAATAAAAAAATAAAAAATGAATAATAAGTAATTATAATAAATAATAAAATCTAAAAGCAAGTTATATATGACACAGTACCAAATTTAAATATGTAAATATTGGTTATTGTATTATTTAACCCACAAAAACATACAAATAAATCCTTTACACCCCCAAAAAAAAAAAAGTCAAAACAATCCCTCATAATAATATTTGAAATGATGAATTCATTGTTTTTTATTATGGGGCAACTAAAAATATAAAAAGTAACTTGTTGTATTACAATTTTTTTTTTATTTGAATCTGTAAATTAATTTTGTATGTTTTATAGATCAGATTCAAGTGATAAAAATTATTATAAATAATTATAAATATAAACCCTTTAATATATACATTTATTTTTTTCTATCAATACCTAATATGTTTATGATTTAACAGATATCATAGTGAGATTAAACCACTTCTATCACAATTTAATTTAAACAGAAAAAAAATAAAACAAATATATCATCTTATATTTAATTAAACAAAAAAAAGGGGGTTATTTTATTCAAACGAGTGCAAAATATTATATTTAGTATTGAAATTAATTATTAGTTTACTATTTATAAAAATAATAATTAACTAATTCAATTTTTTTATTTTTTTATTTTTTTTATTTATTTTTTTTTAAAATAAAATAATGTTGTTTTTGTTGCTTCTTTGTTAAATACTACTACTATTACTACTGCTGTTGGTCTAAAAAATTAAAAGTAAAAAAAAAACTTTTTAAAAAAAAAAAAAAGAATGGTAATGAACTTTTTTTTGATGATTCTTTCTAAAGATGGTGAACTGTTGATGCTTTGTCTTCCTTCTTGCATATAATAACTACTACACCGTCTCTTTTACCAACAATTGAACCAGCAATAGGCGAGGCTAATCTAATTACTTTGCTAAAATGACCTTCTTGAATATCCATTTGTTTACAATTTACAAAAGAGGTTGGAACATAAATCTCTGAACCATTTGGGATTTGAATAGTATCTGGAAGAGAGATAACACCTTCTAAGATGATATCCATTTGATTTACAATAATTTTTAGAGCATTTGGTTTATAGAATGGAATAAATGCATAGATGATAAAATGTTCATTATTTTCGATTACATTTACTGGGATACTATTCATCTTAAAGTAGTTTACATGAGCACCTTTTTTGCTGTGTGTACCTGTACTTGAGGCGAATGGAGTACTATTAAATTGACTAGTGTTACATTGTGATGAGGATGAAGATGATGTAGTGGTTGTAGTAGTGGTTGTATTATTACTATTATTTAAAATTGAATTTGAAAAAGCATTATTTTGACTTAAAATTTCAAATCCTTCTAAATCGATATTTTTGAAATTTGAACCTGATGATGATAAAGATGGTGTACCATTGTTATTACTGCTGTTGTTGCTATTGGTACCATTTGTACTATTATTTAATGATGACATTAAAGCTGAATTATTTTGGGCCAATTGTGTATTTAAATTATTTGCATATTCATTATCATCAACACTATTAATTTTTTTACTTCCTTGTTTTTGATCCTTCAAATCGTTTTCCCATCTTAAAAGATCTTCTTGGCTATAGTTCCAATCTGGGTGGTTGTATTTAAAATCAATACCATAATGTTGAGCACTTAATTCACTAGAATGGACAAACTCTAGGTATGGAAGAAGAGTTGCATATTTTATACAAGTTAGAAAAGAGTCGTGGTTATTTAAAACACCATTTGAAATATCATGATTCTTTTTTCTTTTTCTCTTTTTAACATCATTTTTGTTTGATAATCTTTCATTTTCTGCTGATGTAATATATTCTTTAATTGTTTCCTAAATTAATTTAATTTATTTAAAAAATTAGTATTATATTATTTTTTTATTTTTGAAACAAATAATTACATCTTCTAAATTTTGAAAAATAAAAGTATATACAGCACCACAAAGATTTGCCATATCATTTGGTTGTTTATATCTCTTATCAATTGTAATTTTACTTGTATATAGTGCCAAAACGGTTGATCTTGCTATTGTTGGTGATTTTTTATTTGGAGATACTCTAAAGTAGAAATTTAAAAAGTTTAAAGCCTCTTTCTTTTTATCATCTTGACTTCTTTCTGTGACAGGTCTTAATTTCTTTTGTTGTTGTTGTAAAAGTTGTGTGTAGATAACTGATGGTTGTTGTAATGTTTGATAATGGGGAACTAATACTGGTGGGGGTGGTGGGGGTGGTGGAGGTACATAAAAACTATTTTGTTGTGGTTGGAACAAACTTGGTGATGTTGATGTAGTGGTAGTAGTAGTATTTGAGGGGGTAGGTGGTGCAGTTGAATTATTAGTACTTCCAGTGCTTTCATTTAAAACAATGCCATTACTTGCAGTAGTTGTTGTTAAAACTATTTCATTATTGCTGCCACTTAAATGGTGTGGGTGAAGGTGATTATTATCTATTGTCATAGTTAATGTTTGGCTGTCTATGTTATTTATAATATCACTATTGTTATTAATAATGATGGTGGTTCCATCGTTAGTTAATTCACCATTTGCTTCAATAACATTACTATTGCTATCACCACTTATACTAAGTTGTTGTTGATTATTACTATCATTATTATTAGTGTTATTGTTTTGAATATTATTTATAATAGTAACATTATTGGAACTATTATTATTATCTTTATCTTGTTGATATAAAAAAAGTTGATCTTGGTTACTGGAATCCAAACTGAAAAGGAAACCACCAGAATCACCAAGTGACATTATTATTATTTGTTTTTATATAATTATTATTTAATAAAAAAAATACTTTATTTTATTTTTAGTTTTATAAAATATAAATTTGCTTATTAGATAAATGTTTAGTTTTTTTTAGTGCAATGTTGTTTTGTGCAAAAGATATTTAATTTTGATAAATAAAAAAAATAAAAAATAATTAGTGTGTAACTTTTTTTTATTATAAAAAAATAAAAAATAAAAAAAAATAAAAAATTTAAAAAAAAAAAAAAAAATATTTTTCAAAAAAAAACCTCCAAATTTAACTTTTTTTTATAATAAAATTCATTTATTTAAATATTTTTTAGAAATTTAAAAATTAAATTTCTTTCTCATATTTGCAAATTTAAAAATTGTATTTCTTTCTTATAAGTATATACACAAATTTAAAAAATTAAAATATATTAATAAACATTAAAAATAAAAAAACATTAATTTAATCAATAAAAAATTTTTTTTAACAAAATTAAAAAAACTATAAATATGGTGTAATTTTTTTTTTATTTATTTATTTTTTAAAAATAAATTCAATTGCTCGTTGTAAGTAAATCACTTTAATTTTAATAATTGTAAAATAAAAATAAAAAAAAAAAAAAAAAAAATAAAAAAATAAAAAAAACTATTGGAAAATGGGGTTGGAAATTAAATACAATAATATTTTTGTTTTTGGTTAAATTTTCGATTTTGATCGAACATATTAATAAATTCTGATCAGACACATTAATAAATTTTAAGTTTCTTAAACTTTGTTTAATTAAATTAAGCTTCTTAAACTTTGTTTAATTAAATTAAGTTTCTTAAACTTTGTTTAATTAAATAAGTTTCTTAAACTTTGTTTAATTAAATTAAGTTTCTTAAATTTAGTTTAATTAAATTAAGTTTTCAGAATTTGAATAAATTGTTTTTTTTTTTTTTTTTAATTTTCATTTTGTAAATCAATCAATAATAACAAATTCTAATTTTTATAATATATTTTAAACAGATTAAATAAATGAGTCCAACAGCAACATCAAATCTCTATGGGATTAGAGATCAAATAAAATTTTACAACAATATTTATAACACAATTCAAGATTCAATATCCTCAAACTACACCGATCATGATGAAAGAATTTATCAAGATGTTTCAAAAATCATTAACTTTATTGAAGAAGTTTCAAGCTCATTCGAAAAACAGCCAATAAAGGATGCTATTTTACTATTGGGTAACACTGGTGCCGGTAAAAGTACATTATTAAACTATTTAATGTTTGACGATAGTAACTTTATAATCGATACAAATTCTTTTGATGGAGATAATATTATTCTAAGTGACAAGTCTTTGGGTGTCGAGATCGGGGCTGGTACTGGTTCAACAACTTTAGTTCCAAATTTAAAAAAAACAAATTTTGGTAACTTTTTAGATTTGGCAGGTGACAATGATTCAGGTGGTATATTGGCAGATATTTTAAACTCTTTTATCAAATCAAATCTTGGTATTGAAAGGGTCAAAGTATTATTTGTTTCACAACATTCAGCACTAAGTTCTGCTGGGGGTTATGCTGGAGCTTTCAAAGGTTGTTTAAATAATAATTCAAAAATTTTAAATGACATCAAACTCTACGAAAAAAGTATTGGCCTAGTTATTACAAAAGCCCAAAGAAGAAAAAATGAAGCAGAGTTTATTAAAAATCAAATTGGAGCTATTGTTCAAGAATCATCAACAGGTCCATCCAAAGATATATTTACTTTTGCTTTAAAAGGAAATAAAATTTCAATATTTGCAAAGCCATCAGTAGAGGATGATAGCTACTCTCCACCAATGTACAATCAAAACCAAAAACAAAACATAATTCAAATGATTGAATCATTGGAGTACACTTCAATACCAAGTAATTTTTTCAAACTAACATCAGATGCAGCAATAAAAGAATTTATTGAAGCAATGGTCAATGTTGTTCTATTAAAAGCTACCAACACCATCTATTCAATGATCTCCAATTCAATTCCTCTAAAAATAAAATCGGTTGAAATGGAGTCTTTTGAAAAGTTTTTAAATGACTTGGTAAAAGGAAATAAAACAGATTTATGCAACTTTTTAAAAACTTTAAGATTTAATAATTTTATTATTAAAGATCCAAAGAATATTGATGATCTAAAAACTGTTTGTAACCATTTGGAATTTCTATCACAATTTAAAGAAGGTGTATCAATGGATCAAGATTGGTGCCATATTTCTGGTATAAGAGATATTTTTCTAGATCTTAATAAGGAAGTTTTAAAAACACTGCATATCAATGGAAATAACTTTTCGAAATGCAGCACAAGTAAAGAAATTCAAATCTCTTGTCAAACTAAAGAGGTACAAAATCAATTTGATGAACTTTATAATCTTTTTAAATCTTCAAAGGATTTGGATTTATTAAAAGATAAAAAAGATTCCAAATATTATAAAGAAGTGCCAAAAAAAGTTTTTTCAAAAATGGTAGAAAAAATTGATAAGCAACAGAGAACTGTTAAAAAAATAGTAATGGAAAAAGTAGATAAAGAAATAGAAACTATTACAACAGAGAAAAAAACCATAACAAACCGAGTTCCTAAAGTTATTTTAGAAAAGAGTAAAATTACAAAGATGGTCGAAAGTGAAGAGCAATATGTAGAATATGAAGAAGAAGAAGTCAAAACAATAGAAGAAGCACCAGTAAGAACATTATTTACAGGCATTTTAACTTTAGGTATAAGCACATTAGCCGCCGGGATGCTCCATGATGAAAAAATAACCAAAAAAAAAGTTCCAGTAGCCAGAACAAGAAAAATTATGAAACCTATTGACATAGAAGTAAATGAACCAATTGAGTATATTGCTTTAGAAAAAGTAGAAATAGACGTACCAACAGTAAAAAAAGAAAAAAAAACAATTGAATTACCCAAAGAAATAGAAGAGATTGTTGATGTCGAAGTAAAAACACTTGTACCAGAATACATTGACACAATTGAAATGGTATTTGATAATTCGTTATTTTCTAAAGATAAAGAAGATATTGAAAATAAAATTGGATCATTAAGAGATTCAATTACTCATTCACTAAATAGCTATTGCAAAGTTTCAAATTCATATGGAAATATTAAATTGGTTATAAAAGATGATATTGAAAACAACTATCAAGACCTAATTAACTTTTGGAAAGATACAGAGTATTCACTTTACTTTTTACAAAACCCAAATAACAAATTATAAAGTAATCTGTTGTTAGAAATAAACAAAAAAACAAAAAAACAAAAAAACAAAAAAACAAAAAAACAAAAAAACAAAAAAACAAATAAATAAATAAAAAAAAAAAATAAAAAAATAACTGGTAAATAAATTAATAAATAAAGAATAGGTTTTTAAATAAAATATTTTTTTTTTTTGATCATTAAACTTCACAAAAATATTCAAGCAAATGTATTTTTTTTATTAATAGTATGAAAAAAAAAAAAAATTATATGAAATCTTACTAAGATTTAAAATTTTAAAAAGGAAACTTCGAAAAAACAAATTTTAATTTTATTTTAAATTTTATTTAATTTATTTTATTTTAATTTATATTTATTTAAAAAAAAATTTTAATTTATTTTTTTATTTTATAATTATTTTTAATTTTTTATAAAAACTAAAGGGGTTTCCTTTTTTTTTTTTTTTTTTTTTTTTTTTTTTTTTTTTAACTCATTTATTTATACTTTAAAGTATACATTAAATATATAATTATAAATTTTTTTTTTTAAATTAATTTTATTCAAAATTAGAAAATGTTTACTCACTTTAAAGTTAATATAAACAAAACCCAAAACAATCCATTAGGAGATATTTTAAACAATATTAGTAATAAAGAACAACACCAACCCCCCCCATAATTTACATTTACCAAAACCCACAACCAAATAAAAACTATAACAAAAAAAATTTTAATTTAAATAATGGGGGTTGAAAAAAGCAATATTGATAGTCATCTAATAACCTTACAACCACTTTCAAATTTAAATGATACTTTATCTCCTGGATTTATATCACAACCAATCATTAGCAATGATATTCTAAACCATAGCAACAATACTAATAATTTTAATTATCAAGAAGATCAGCTAACACCTCAATCTAATGTTTTAAATTCCCCACCACTACACCCATTTTATATAAACAATACACTCGATATTAATAATTCTGAAAAATTAAAAAATAAACCTAATAGCTTTTCTATACCGCAACAAATAGATAGTATAATAGATTTAAATAAAATAGAAAGCAATATTAATAATGTCGAAATGTTAGATGATATTGAAATTATAGAAGATAAGGCATCTTCAGGTTTAAAAACTAAAAACAAAAAGGAATGTTCATTATCACCCCCAATATTAAAATCAAAAACTAGCTTAGTTCCAAATTTAAGCAATAACTCATTTTTTAATGAAATTGATAATCTAAACCATTTAGAACTCAATCCCAATGAATATATTTTACATCAAAATATAGATCACCAATCCTATAAACAAAAAAGCCCAATAACAGTTCCAACATTACAAAAAGACTCACCACCAAACAAAAAAAGAAAATATAATTCTAAACAAAACACCGACACTATAATAAAAGATAGTAACGAAATTAAAGAATTTTGCAATGAAAAAATTGAAGAAAATAGCAATAATTATTTATCCAACAACATTCTTGCAGAACAAAAAAAAAGAGAAGAGCTATTAACAATGTATTATAAATATAAAGAAGAAAGAAAAAACTCGAAAAAACAAGAAAAAGAAAAGCAAGATAAAATTAACGAGCCAATCCGAAAAGATTTAATCGAAAGATTTGTCGAAAAGAAACTAGATTTCAATGATATATCAACTGATGAACTATTGATAATGGCCCCAAAGGTATTTGGTCGGGTTAGTAAATATAATTTATTTGAATATTTATTTGGAACAAAGGAAAGAGGAAGTTTAAAAGTTTCGGATTTGGTTAGATACAGGAGTAGACTAGACCATATAATAGACGAAGCAAAAGGCGAATTAGACTATTATAGATGCCCATATTGCCAAGATATTATTCAAACCCAAAAATCTTTGTCACAACCTCATCAAAATAGATTCAGTAATAAAAGTTGTCTAAAGTACCATTTGTTAAGAATTCATAAAGAAAATGTTAAAGAAATCAAATTTGAAAAAAATGAAAATAATTATGAAAGATCTAGAAATCCAAATTATAGAAAGTGTAAACATACAGGATGCTCAGTTTGGATCACCTCAAAACACATGTGCGACCACATTGTTATAGACCACCATATCGAATACCCTGAAGAATCGAATCAGTGCCAAAAATGTCAAGAACTAAAAAAAAAATTAAAAAAGGAATTTATAAACGCATGCAATAATTTTTACCAAACAAATAAAAAAAAAACTATCAACAGTGATATAGAACTCCAATCATTAGAAAATGAAGTTAAAGTTGAAAAAAGTAAAAAAATTAAAAAAAACAATCCAAAAAAACATAAAGATAAAAAGAGTGTAGATAAAAAACAAAAAAGCAAATAAAAATACAATAATATGTATTAATTATAACAACAAAAGTTTAAAAATTTTCTTTTTTGTATATTTCTATTTTTATATGTATCCTCACACACTGACACACACTTTGTAACAAATAAAAATCACACACCACACAGTCATTGTTATTGGAAACAATTAATTTATTTTTATTTTAAAAAAAATAGAGCCATTATTGAACCCCTAACTATGCATTTATGGGTTAAGAACTGAAGCAGGATTTTCGATTAAACTTGTAACAGCTAAAATTATATAGTTGTATATATTTAAAAAATATTGGGGGGTGTGTTAATATAATTACTATATTAAAAATATATAATGATATTATTATGAATCCTACCATATTGCAATCCAGATTTTAAACCAGATGCAGCGCCAATTCCAAGTCCAGTTAAAAGACCTGTGACTAAACCAACTGCGCCACCAAGTAAACTCATAATAACAAATGAATTTTGATTGTTTCCCATTTGAATTGCACCACTTCCACTACCAACATGACCTTTAATATTTGATTTAACGTCACAATTTAATGAAGTAATACATTTAACTATTGTCATTTTTCTAAATAATAATTTTTTATTAATAAATAAGTAATAATAAAACAAAGTTGATCTATAATATGAAAATAAAAGAATTAAAATTTGTGGTTTAAATATTTTTTTATTTTTTATTTAATTTAATTTTTTATTTAATAAATAATTTTTTTTTTATTATCTCTATTTAAAAAAGTTTTAGAATTTTCTTTTTTTTAACAATAATAGAAATTAATATGAAAAATATATTTTTTTTCTTTAAAGAATACCAAAAGCAAAACCTTTAGCTATACCTGCAAGTGCACCTTCAATTGCATAATCTAATCCACCAATGACTGCACCAGCAACAATTCCAGTAGTTTCACCAATTACTGTGGCAATACCTCTATTAACATCTATTAAAAAAAAAGAAAAAAAAAGTGTGAAAATTAGATCTTTACCTTATTTTGAATATTTCATAAATTAATAATTACCACCAATTTTTCCAGCACTAGCATTTGATCCTTGAAGTCTACCATTTAAACCTGAGGAATTATAGATAAATTGATTCTTTACGGATTTAGTTGGGTTTGATAATGAAACGATTGAACCTATATTTAGATTTTATTTTTGTGTGTTTTAAAATTTTGAAATATAAAAAATAAAATAAAATTTTAATTAAAATAAAATAACAATAAATTTTTTTTATATTACTATTTATTTACCTAAAATTGTCATTTTTAATATGATTTTTATATAATTTAATAGTTTAAAATATTTAATATTTGATATTTATTTGTTTTATATTATAAAATTAAAAAAAAAAAAATTTCTTTTATAATTTTTTTTTTATATGAAATGTTTTAAAATGATTTATTCTAATAGTTCATGTAAAAGTATTATTTTATGAGATACTTGTTTAAAAAAGGTTCAACCAATAAAAGCTAATTTAATATGCTTTATTACCTTTAAAAATATGATTTTTTTTTTTTTCATCTTTTTCGTTGTAATTTTTTAATATCTAACATTAATTAATTTAATAAAATTCTTTTTATATACGAATGTTAAATTAATATAAATATATAATCATATTGCTATGACATTCAAGTAAAAGAAGTCAAAAAAAAAGTATTAAAATATATTTTTTTTTTTTTTAGAGATTTTCTAAAAAAAAAATTTTTATATAAAAATATATTAATTATCATAATTCGAAACACCACACTCCCCAAAAAAGAAATGATTCAAATATAAAATTTAAAACTAAATCAAAAAAAATAAAATATCAATTTTTTTAACCTTTAAAAGCAATTATAATATTTAATAAAATTTGTTTTATTTATTATTTAATTTTTAATATTAATAATGATAGTTGATTACATTGAGATTAATTTTTTTTTTTTTTTTTAATATTTATCAAACATTCCCAAGAAATCTAAATTTCTACCAATTACTGGACCTGCCTGATTTCCATATACACCGCCATTGATAGCACCGTAGACAACACCACCAACTGTACCAAGAAGAAAACCAAGTAAACCAAAGATTGGACCAGCAGTAGCATTTTTGGACATTGAGTTTGAGCCGCTAGCACTATTGATATTACCGTTAACATTTGATTTTAAGCTGCAATTTAATGATGAGATATTTTTAATAATTGTCATTTTTTAAAGCAATTGAATATGAGTACAATAAAAATAAATTATAGTTTAATTTTAAATAAATAATATTAAATAAATGAAATGAAATGAATGAATGAAATAATTAATTTTTAAAATCATTTAAATACTTTTTTTTTTTTTTTTTTAATTTTTTTTTAAAAAATACATTTCACTTGAAAATGATCACTGACATTTATTTTCATACCTTTAAATTTTCGACATCATATGATGAATCTTCCTACTTACTAATACCATTTTTTTATTAGTACTATTTTGGAAAAAAAGGTGCTATTAAAAAAAAAATAAAAAAAAAATCATATATTAAAAAAATTAAAATTATTTAAATAATTAAAAAGTTATGAAAAATAAAAATATATAAATATTTTATTTAAAAAAAAATTTTAGAAGATGAATTTATCAATAAATTAAGCAATTTGAGAAAAATATTTTCTTGGTAGAAAATGGAATTTTTTAAAAAAAAAACAAATTTTTTAAATTTTTTTTTTTTTTTTTTTAAATTTTTTCAATTTTTTCAAATTTTTTTTTTTTTTCTTTTTATTAAATTTTTTGTTCACACACATAAACAAGTTCATAATCGTTGTTTTTGGGTATTTTTTGTAAATTATTTTTTTTATTTAAACTATTTTTTTTTTTTTTTTTTACTATTAAAATCTTTTTTTGTTGTAAATATATAAACAAAAAATAAATAAAAAGATTATATAATCAAAAGAAAAAAAAAAAAAAAAAAAAAATAAAGGTATATTTTTTAATTACATTTTAATTATAATTGCAAAAAAAAAAAAAAAAAAAAAAAAATACCTTTTTACATTCTTTTTTTTTAAAATTATAATAAAATATGGCATCAATTGCTCTTAAAAGAGGGGACCCACAATCTGAAAAGGTAATTATTATTTTTTTAAAACAATATAGATTGAATATTTTAAAAATAAATATTAATATTTTTTTTTTAATTTTACAAAATTTTTTTTTTTTTTTATTCAAATATAAAATAATATCAAATTTCAAAAAAAAATTTTTACAAAAATTTAAAATTTTATCTAGATCAAATATATCAAAGGAACATTTTTTGTAATTAGACCAGATGAAACATCCAAAGATTTGTTTTGGATCGCATATGCCTTAGAGGATGTACCTGTTAAAAATAAAGAAGTTTATGTTAGATGGTTGACTGTATCAGACGATGAAACCGAATATAAAGTTTCACCAGAATCTTCCAACTCAAAAATCCCAATCGAATCAATTATTATTTCAACTACCTTAAAGGCCAATGCTAAAACTCCAACTATCTATAGAATTTCAAAAACCGAATTAAAAAGAGTAATATCAGTTGTCGAGGAAGAAAATGAAAGTTCGGAATCTGAAGAAGAGGATGAGTCCGAAGAGGGTGAGTCTGAAGAAGAATCTGAAAAAGAAGACAACAATGATAAAAAACCAACTGCTGCTGAAAAGAAGAAGGCTGAAGCTGCTTTAAAGAAACAAAAAGAAAAGGAAGCCAAGGAAAAACAAAAAGAGAAAGAAAAACAAAAAAAATTAAAGGAGAAAGAAAAGAAATTGAAAGAAAAGAAAAAGAAAGATGTCACCAAAAAGAAGAAGGAAGATGACAAGCAAAAAGATAAAAAGAAGAACAAAAAGAAGCATGAATCTGAAAGTGAATCTGAAAGTGAGAGTGAATCAGAAGATGAATCATCAGAGAGTGAAAAAGAAACCAAGAAATCATCAAAGAAATCATCATCCTCATCAAAGAAACAAAATAAAAAGAAATCATCAAAGAAACAACAAGAGTCATCATCAGAAAGTGAAAGTGAATCTTCCTCATCGTCATCATCAGAAAGTGAAAAAGAGAAAAAGAAAACTAAAAAGAAACAACCATCAAAGTCAAAGAAGTCAAAGAAATTGGAATCAGAAAGTGAAAGTGAATCAGAGGAATCATCATCAGAATCTGAAAATGAAAAAGAAAAGAAGAAATCAAAGAAATCAGCCGCTATCGAAAGACAAACAATTAAACCATTGGTTGAAAAAAAGAAATCATCTGGCAAGAGAAAGAAGGACGAACAAGATGACCATGAAGAAGAGAGCGACGATGAAGAAAAGACCACAAAGAAATCCAAAGTTAAAGGTGGTGAGTCTAAAAAAGTTGCCAAAGAAAAACCAGTTAAAGTCGCAAAACCAACCAAGGCCACACTTAGAGCACAAACTAAAAAAGGTAACCCAAATCCTAATATTCCCGAAGTTGAAAATGATCCAGACCTTGAAGATGCTAAAAACAGAACTCAACCATCCGATTTTTGTTGTGCAGTTTGTACCACTAGAGAGGCCACTAGGGCTGTTTTAGTTAATAATATACCATTATTAAAAGAAATAATTAAAGAGGGCCGTTATCACTCATTATTATGTCCATGGTCAGTTTCAGTTGGATATTCACCATTCGATTATTCAATTCTCACCAATAACATCGAAGCAATGAAGTTAATTTATGAAGATCTTAAAAATGCTAAAAGAGTTAGACTACCAGTTTCATCTTTCCATAGAGCCTCAACTGGTTCATATTCTCGTTTTACTTATGGTCATGCTGTTAGGGCTCTTAATCAATCAAGAGGTGGCAAAGAAGGTGACGAAGCTTTTATTCATGATAGTAGTGCTTATGAAACTTATTCTGTAAGTAACAGGGTATAAATATAAACTATTAAATAAATATATTAACTTTTTTTTTTTTTATATTTTAGTTATCATTAGATCATCATAGCGATTCAATTTTAAATGTGGCATTGGGTAATAATTGTGTAAAATTATCAACTATTGAGGAATTAGAAAAATTAGATAATAATGACTTTTACAGATATAACGAATTGAATGCAACATTTATAGCCGCTAGATCTGGTAATCTCGAACTTACAAACTATTTAGTTACCAAATTCAATAAGAGAGGTGGCTTTGGTTTTAATGATATCCATAACAAAGTACTTGATCCAGAAGGTGGTGATCTCCCACCATTTAAATCAGTTTCAGCCACAAAGAAAACCAACCAGGGTAGTGTAACACCAGTCCATTTTGCTGCTATTAATTCAAAAGGTAAATTCTTGAAAGAGCTTGTTGATTCTTCCCAAGATTTTAACAAACCAGATGGTAACCTTTTCAAACCAATTCATTATGCTGCTGCTTGTTCACTCCCAGTCAACATTAACTTTTTAGTTAGCAAAGGTGTCGAATTAAATGATTTAAATAATCAAGGTTTTACACCATTAATGATCGCCGCTAAATTGGGCAGAGTTCAAAATATCAAGGCCTTGGTTAAAGCTGGTAAAGATAGATCAATCAAAGACTACGTTAAAACCAAGAATAAAAAGAACCAAGATGCCCTTCATTTTGCTGCACAAGAAGGTCAATGTGGTTCAATTCGTGCTCTCCTTGAATCCGGTGCTGATGTTGATGTTCCTGAAAAAGGTACTAGATATACCGCTTTAATGAAAGCTGCTGCCAATGGAAAATATGATGCTGTTAAAGTTTTGGTCGAGGAAGGTAAAGCTGACGTAGAAAAAAAAGAAAAATTCAAAAGAACCGCTTTAGTATTGGCTGCTACTAATGGTCATTTCAAAATTGTTTCTTTCTTGCTTCACTATAATGCTCAACCAAAAGTTATCGATTCCTCAAAGAATACTACTCTTCACTTTACTACTGCCTATGGTTGGAAATCAATAACCAGTTATTTAGTTTCTGATTTCAAATTGGATGTTAATGAATTTAACGATTGGAAATCCACTCCATTATCAATTTCTATTAGAAAAAATCATTTCCAAATTACCAAATATTTGTTAGATAACAATGCCGATGCAAATACTTGTGATGAAAATGGTACTAGTATTTTATTACAATCATTAAGTTCAACAATCAGTCCATCATTTATCAACAATCTCGTCTACCTTGTTAATCAAGGTAAGGCCGATATTAATCATTGCAATAAAGACCAAAATGGTGCTCTCCATATTATTTGCTTCTCTGATATAGAGTGTTCAATTAAAAAGAAGCCTGAAGAAACTGAACAGGAATTCCAAGCTGCTGTTCTTGAAGAGAAATTAAAAATCTTTAACGAAGTCGCCAACTTTTTAGTCGAAAAAGGTATTAACATCAATTTAAAAAATAAGGAAGGTAATACTCCACTCATGTTGGCTTTTGAAAAACAAAATATTCCAGCCATTATTTTCTTTTTAGAAAAAGGTGCCTCATTAATTGGTACTTACAGTTCCAGTGGTTCAAATATTCTTCACAATATTATCAATTTACAAAATTCTTTACACTTTGTCCGTATTACAGAATTGGTATTAAAATCAAAAGATCTTCCCGCTCTGGTTAATAATTTCAATAAACAATTCCTCACCCCAATTATGGCTTTTATTAAAAACTTTAAATCAAATATTTCCAACACTGCAAATATTACTTTCACAATTAATTTCCTTCGTAAATTAATTGCTAAAGCCAAACCAGATCTTACTCTTCCAGAAACTAAATTTATTGAAACTCAAGATGCTGATGAATCAATGAGAACAAGTGATGATGAAGACAACAACAAAGATGAAGATGAAGAGGAAGACTACGAAGACTATTCAGATGAAGACAGTTCAGATGATAATAGCGATCAAGATGATATTTATAACGAGCCAGTTGTTATTGATAAAGATACTCCAGTTCTTAAAAGAACAGCTTTACATTTTTCAGTTTTAGTTGGTTCTTTAGAGATTGTTAATGTCCTCTTCGAGTTTAATACCAAAGACATTGACCCTGTTACAGTCAATAATGAAACACCACTTCATATGGCTATCGAAAACAATCATTTCCAAATTGCCACACTCCTAATTCACAAAGGTTGTAATTTAAAGATTGCCAACTTATTTGACCGTACCCCATTACATTTAGCCTGTGCCAAAATGAATTTCCCACTCATTAAAAAGTTAACAATTAAAAACTCTCCAGTCAATAAACAAGATTATAAAGGCTTAACACCATTAATGATTGCTTGCCAAAATAAACACAATATTTCTGATGATGCTCTCGAAGGCGAAGATAATCCAATCTCTATTCTTCTTCAAAATGGTGCAGACCCAAAGATTGTCGATCATAAAAAGAGAAGTGCTCTTCACTACAGTATTAATGCAAGTGGTGCCGATACTAATAGTTCATTCGAAATTGAAGATCTTTTAATCAAACATAATGCCCCATTAAATGATCAAGATTATCTTGGCCGTACTCCACTTCATTATGCCTTTGTCAAAATTGGTAGTAGAGAAATTGAAAATGGTAATAGCTATGATCCAGTTCAAGTTGTTAGTTCGTTGGCTTCCTTTGAAACCATCAACATCGATTTACCAGATAAGTTTGGCAGAACTCCTTTGTTTTATGCTTGTCAACATGGTAGTACCGTTTCCTCTTTATTGCTAATTCAAAGAAAAGCAAATATCAATAGAGTTGATGAAGATGGTAATTCACCATTAGCATTCTCATTATTATTTAAGCATCCAGATTGTGCCATTAGTCTTATCCAAAAAGGTGCAGATGTTAAGTCAAACATTCACAAATACAGAATCAAAATTGAAAAGAAAGAGCTTCCAGTTAATTTAAATAAACCAGATGCAACTATTAAACCAACCAAAGCCGAGTATACAATTGAAAAAATTGATAAACAAACTGTTGGTTTATTCTATCACGTTATTTCTAATAATTGGCAAGGTGTTGCTTATATTATGTTAGATAATGGTTTGGATCTCTTTAGTTCACTCCGTGATGCTTTCAAGGCCAATAAATATCAACTAGCTCTTACTCTTTTATCTAAATGTCGTAATCCAGAGGAATTAAAAGTTACCAATGCCGAAAAACAAAATCTTTTCCACTTTATTGGAATGTATCCAAGTTCAGTTTCAAACTGGGCTGACCGTATTCAAACTAAACTCTTAGGTAATGGTGTCTCTCCAAACACCAAAGATAATTTAGATAGAACTCCTCTTCATTATGCTGCTATTTCAAAGAATGCACCATTTATTCAATTTTTATTCGATCAAAAATTGGATATCAATCAAAGAGATAAAGATGGTCATACTGCTTTTTCATTATCATTACTTGATATTAAAGAGCCAAAAGAGAATACCAATTTTGATAATTACCAATTACCAAAAGATTTTATCACACTCTTACACAAAAAACCAAATTTAAATTTAAGATTCAAATATGAAGACAATCAAATAACCCCATTAATTTATGCTATAATCATCAATCACGCATTTTTAGTTAAAACTCTTTTGAATAATTCAGCCGATGTTAACTGTGCCGATGGTTTAGGCCAACCACCAATCTTTTATGCTGTTAAGGCCAATAATATCAAAATTGTCGAAACCCTTCTCACCAAGAAACCAAATCTTAACATCAAAGATTCTGATAAGAAATCTGTTATTCACTGTGTCGTTTCACCAACCGAATATGGCTCATTTGAAAATGTTACTCTCTTAACTCTTTTACATAATAAAGGTGCCGAGATTGATACCCAAGATATTGCTGGAAAAACTCCAAACTATTATGCTTCACAACAAGAATCTGGAAAAATGAGAGAGGCTCTTGAAAAGATGGGTGCTAAAAAGATTCCTGCAAACAACCTTCCAGCAAGAGAAATCTCCACCATTTTCGATTGGAACCAAAATTCTGTCAACTATGAAGAAGATTATGTCAAGTACATCGAATCAAAGAAAGAGCTTATGGAAGCCAACAAAAAAGAATTAAAGCCAGTTGTTGATACACTCTCTAGAATGGAATCAAACAGCGAGGTTTATGTTGATCAAGAAAGTGGTCTTATTTATGATGTACTTTTAACCAAGGTTGATGCTGGTTATGGTATGTATGGTGAAAATAATTTCTATAAATTACAAATTATTTATAACCCAAATCTTGACCGTTACTTTATCTTTAATCGTTGGGGAAGAATTGGTGATTCTGGTCAATATCAAAAAACTCCATATTCCAAAGAAGAAGCTATTAACGAGTTCTGCAAACTTTTCAAACAAAAAACTGGTAACATATTCTCTCAAGCCACAATGACCAATTTCCAAAGAGTCGATGGCAAATATCATTTATTAAATATTGATAGAACTGATAGATCAAAGAAAGAGGTTCTCCATCCATTTGATCTCTCTAAATATCCACCTTCAAAACTTCCAAAAGAAATCTTTGATGTTATGTCGCAATTCTGTAATGTTGAAGCAATCTCTAATCAATTAAAATCCCTTAAAATTGATACCGATATTATGCCATTAGGTCGTCTCTCAAAAGATGCCATTAATAACGCTGTTGCTATTTTAGGTAAACTAAACGAAACTATCGAAACCCTCAAGGCAATCAGGGCCAAAAAAGATTCTGTTAATGACGATAATGATGACGATCAAAAAGAAGGCAAGAATGATGATACCCTCCCACCAATCAACGAAGTTCTCGAAAGTCAATTAGAATTAAGCAACAAATTCTTTGAATTAATTCCCCATTCTGATTTCAGAACCGAAAAAATGCAAGTTTTAAGACATCAACATGAAATCGCTACCAAAATTAAACTTTTACAAAATCTTGACGAAATGGAAACTGTTAGTAAAATTTTAATTGCTGCCCATCAAAATTCTTCAATGCACCCATATGATTATTGTTTCAAAGCTGTTAATGTCTGCATGGAAAAATTAAATGAAAATACACCAGAATTCGAAATTATTAAGAAATATACTTTAAATACTGGTTGTCACCAAAAGATTCACAATGTCTACAAAATCCAAAGAAAAGGAGAACCTGAAAAATTCCAACAACATAAATCTCTTAAAAATCATTATCTTTTATGGCACGGTAGTTTAACAACAAATTATCTTTCAATCCTTTCTCAAGGTCTAAAGATCGCACCACCAGAAGCCCCAGCCACTGGTTATATGTTCGGTAAAGGTGTATATTTCGCTGATATGTTCCAAAAATCAATCAATTATTGTAAATCATGGCAAACACCAAACACTAGCAATCGTAATTTCCTCTTACTCTCAGAAGTCGCTCTTGGTACTATGGCCGAATTCAAGAGTGCTCATTACATGGAATCTCCACAAACGGGTACAAATAGCACAAAAGGTGTTGGAAAAAATGGTCCAAACTTTGATAATAGTATCATTTTAAATAATGGTGTTTGCATTCCACTCTCTAAACCAGAACAAGTTAAAGATACCACAGGCTACTTTTTAGAAATGAACGAATACATTGTTTACAACACATCACAAATCAGAATGAGATATTTAGTCGAAGTTTCTCAATAAATAAAAAATAATAAATAAAATATTTTAAAAATAAAATTGTTTTATTAATGTTTTTTTATTAAACTCCAAATAAATACAAATTTCAAAATAAAAATAAAAACAAAAAAAAAAAAAGAAATAGTATTTTAATTCGATATTTTTATTTTTTTATAGAGAATTATATTTATATAAACCAAAAATTATTTTATTAATTGTTTTGGTATTTTCTCGATTCTTTTTTTCTATTTTTTAAAAAATATATATAATTTACAAACAAGTTATTGAAAGGATTTAATTTACTTTTTTCGGTACTGAATAATTGAAATTATTATTACTATTATTTATTATTGAGTTATTTATTTTGTTATTACTATTATTGTTATAATTATTATTATTGTTAGTTTAATGATTAAGTATAATTTATTAAATAAATAATTTTTTTTTTTTTTTTTGGTTCCATTTTAAGCATATACGCCAGTATCTATCACTTGGGGAAGAACAGGGGCGAAAGAAGATAAACCTTGTTCACTCATTTCTTTTAAGTGGGCAATGATTTGTTTAAAGGTTGGACGTTTATCTGGATTTGTATCCCAACATTGGGTTAATAATTCTTTCCATTTTGGTGGGGTGGTTAATGGGATAGGTGGACGGTAGGATTCATAAGCAGCCAAATGAGCCATTTTCATTGGTTTCATATCTTGTTGTGGTTCATCAGAAGTAAGGAGTTCCCAAAGTATCATACCATATGAATAAACATCACTTTTTTCGCTATTACTTTCACCTTTGAAAACTTCAGGTGCCATATAAGGTATACAGCCAACTGATGAGGTCATTGATTGACCCTGTTCCATCTTTAATCTGCTAAGACCAAAATCTGAAATTTTGGATTTGAAGTCATTGATTGAGTAACCTCTTGATGGGTTATTTGGGTCGATGCTGTGGTCTAATAAAATATTTCTTGAAGATAAATCACGGTGTAAAATTGCTGGGGTCCAACCATGTAAATAACACATACCCTTGGCGATATCTGAAGCAATCTTGAGACGAAGATGAGGATTGTCTTCTAAAATAGTGAAATGATCTGTTAAAAATTGTCTTAGACTGCCACCTCCCATCCATTCAGTTACTATACAATGATGTTCTTCAGCACCAGCTGTACAAGCACCCAAAAACTGTACAACATTTGGATGTCTTAGTTTGCTTAAAATTGAAACTTCATTTTGGAACATTACTAACGAAGATTTGGTTTTAAATTGATCACGATAAATAATCTTAATGGCTACATCAGTTTCTCTCCAATAACCTTTTTTAACTTCACCAAAGAAACCTTTACCAATTGTTGGACCAAATTCTAATTCATTGAAATCAATTTCGTATTCAAATCTTGGTGGCGGAGTGGAAATTTGTTGTTGAGATAATGACTGTGATTGTTGGAATTGTTGTTGGCCAACACTACTTGATGATGTGATTTGTTGTTGTTGTTGGGGTTGAGGTAATGATGACGTTGATAATGAATTATTTGTATTAGCATTTGCTATTGGTTTGAAATTTATTAGGATATTATTTGGATTATTATTTACATTGACATTATTATTTGAGTTTTGGGTATAGAATTTTGATGTTGGAAGAATATCTTGTGGTTGAAGGAATGTATGATGAATTTGAGGTATATTACCACCTGAATTGCCAATAATTGGAGGAAGTGAGAAATTATTATTACTATTACTATTATTGTTATTATTATTATTGCTCTTGCTATTTGAAACACTATTCTTTTGTTGGGGTGGATGAGTTATACTTGGTGAAAATGTATTATATGGATTATTTGTTGTGATAATATCTTTTTCTGGACCTTTTTGTTGTAAATATCTTATTTGTTGTTGATTTAAAGTTTTTGAGGATGTCTTTTCGTCTGGTTGTTGTATAAATTCTGAATCATCTGAACCCATAGAATCTGCTAGTGTTCGGTCTTGATCAACAAAGAATTTATTTTTCTTTTCAATTCCGCCAATTGTGCTTCTACGATTTCTATCTTCTATTTCTTTGGCTGAATAAGATTTCATTGGGCGTGTTATTTTTCCAGAATGAGAGATATCTGAAATGGTTTCTTCTTCACTTTCGTTGCTACTATCCCTCCACTTAAGAGATTTCTTATTATCATCCATTAACGAACCTTCTGAACCTTGATATGATTCTGGACTCTTAATATTCCAAATTTCTCTCATTTTCTTGAGACGGTCGAGGATATCATCTCTATGACCAAATGGTTCGATTTTCAATTCATTCTTGAGATCTCTATTATTAATATTAATTAAATGACGACCTGAAATATTATTATCATGGAAATTCTTTTTGTATTGTTTATAATTGATTGCTTCAAGCCAAATGCCAACATCATTTGGTGGCCAATTTTTAAATCCATTATTTTGACGGTCTGGTCCTAAATTCTTTGTCCAAATAGATGGGGAAACACCTGGTAAATCTTCAAAGTTGAATTTAAAATGGGTATGGAAAGTGGCGATACAAATTCCACCCACAATACCTCTGAATGAAACTGATGGATAAAGGGGTTCTGATGGGACATTCCAAAATGCTACACCTATATATCGACCATTCTTTGTAAAAAATATTTCTTTAGTACTGGTGTTAATACCGCAACCAATAACACAATCTCCATCACCAAAAAATGTTGGTCCATATGGTTCACCTTCTTCTGAGCCTCCAAACTTTTCACCCTCGCTTGAATAACCATATGATTTTGGTTCTCTACCAATATGTTTATTAAATGGATATGTTGAATGTGACAAACCAACAGTAATAGAACCTTTCTTGTCATGACCTTCAAGATAAACTTCGAAATAACAAATAGTGGTTGGTGAGTTGGGTGAAAATGGACGATCTGCCATTGCAACTGAAGTCTTTTTCCTCATCATTGTTAATGTGATATTATCATCTTTCATTTTAATTGATTTACCACAACGTCTCCATGCAGAGGGTGGTTGGCCGTCATCTTGGAACTGAACAAATTGTAAATCATCGCTGCTACTTAAATTCTTTCTTGGTGAAACTTGTGGTGATGAATTTGGTGAAATTGAAGGGAATGTCATTGATAAGCCTGTAAGATTATTTGAGCTTGATGGGACAACAGGTAATGATACACAATGTCTATTTAATAACTGGTTATTAAGTTGAGTATTTGTAATATTTCCACTACCTCCATTGTTAGAACTTTCATTTCCACCTCCATTAAACCATAATGAAGAGAAATGACTGGGTGGTGGTGGAATAGAAGTTGATGATGACATTGGTGAATTTGAAGTTGGGCCGCTACTTAAAGAAGAGAAAGATGAAAGCGAATTATAAGAACCACCTCCTCCAATTGAATGTGGTGGCGAAGTTCTTTTACTGACTGTTGTCATTGCTGATGAATCTAAATTAAATATTGAGTCATTGTTACTAGATTTAATATTTGAAGATGATGTTGTGGTGGTTGTTGTAGTAGTGGATGTAATGTTGGGTTGTTGTTGTTTTGGTAACATAAAACTTGGTTGCGGGAAATTTTTTATCATTAATGCAATTTGTGTAAATTTAAATGGTGGACTAAAAACTCCTATTATAGAGGTTCCAGGTTCACTTAAAGCAACAGATGGATATAGGGTGTAATAAACATTTGAAAAGGCCGAACCAATATACATGCCATTCTTTGTGAAAAAGATTTCTTTGTACTTAAAGTTCATACCACAACCAATGACATCACCTTTTTTATAGCTTTCTCCATATGGTTCTCCTTCATTAACACCTGGTTCTTCTTTACATTTAAACTTTCTGCCATCATCGCTATGGTAGCCATAAGAACTCTTTATCCAGCCAATATGAAGATTATTTGGATATTCTTGTTGAGCAAGACCAATTGAAATTTGACCACGTTCTAAGTTATCAATTATAACCTCAAAATAACAAAATCCATTACTGTCATTTAATGGTTGGGTGGCACGAATACCTCCTATTGTATCTTTGGGCGAGTCATGTGGCAAAAATGCCTTACGATCCATTACTACAACATTTTTACCGATTTTATCCTTCTTTGTATTCCATTTAACAAGTTCAAATTCTTCTTTTGGGATTAAATCTTCGGAATTTGATGATGCAACTGGAACATTGTTAACCTGTTGTTTACTTAGTTTATCGGATGCACCACGATATGAAAATGGTGGTACACAATTAATCACTACTGCTTCCCCTGGTGATTGTAAACCCACAGTTGGATACATATTACTTGAAAGTGAAACTTTTTGGAATGCCGACCCTAAATATACACCATTCTTGGTGAAAAATATAGTTTTTGCTGATGAGTCATAACCACAACCAATAACATCTCCTGCTGTGAATGTTGGCCCATAAACTTTACCCTCTCCTGTGCCTCCATATATTTTACCATCACCCATATAACCATATGACGATCTAAAATAACCTGGATAGATATCAATTGGATGATCATTATTAGTTAAACCAAAACATATTTTTCTGATAATAAAAAAAATTAATTATTAATATGCGATATTTTTTTTTTTTTAGTTATATTTATATTTACTCTCCATTTCCATTAGTTATAAATAATTCACAATATGAAAATGATGTTGAAAATGCAACAGTTGCTTTTGCGATCTAAAAGTTTAATTTAAAAATATTAATATTTTGATTATACTATTATTATTTTAATTACTATTACTTACCCCCTTTAAACCATTTGGTAATCTATATGAACATCTGCATTTATCCTCTATATTTAGAACTTGCGAATTTGATTTTCGTAGGTCCCATTTCGATTCAACAGGTTTCTTTTTGAAAAATTTGGACATGATTGACCAAGATGAGGAATCAGATTCTTTTTTATGACTACTATTTGTTACAGGTGGTGGTGGTGGTGGAATTTGAGTTGATATACTTGGTGATCCTAAAGGTGATGGGCTTGGTGATGAATTTGTTGGTGGTGAAGATACAGATGGTGATCTGGGTTTTGGTGAATAAGACGAGGTTTGGTTTTGTTGTTGCTGTATTTGTTGTTGTATTTGTTTATATGAGGGCGATAAAGTTGGTGGTGAATCTTCAGATTTTGATGGCGAAGAAACTGAAATATTTAATGGTGGTGATGATGATGAAGTCGAAGTTGATAAATTTAAATCTGTGCTTATATTACTAATATTACTATTTGATGAAGTGTTTATAACTCTATTATTAACTAAAAATGGTGCAGAGGGAACTGGTGCACTTGCTGGTCTAACGCCTCTCGATGAAGGTGATTTTGGTAAAACGATAACTGGTAGTGGACTTGGTATGTTGCTGTTACTATTATTATTATTATTTATTTCTTTAATTGTATCTTTACTTGAATTTAAATTTTGATTTATTATATTCCCACTTGTATTTATATTGTTAGGTGAAGTTGGTGTTGTTAATGGAGATAATGGGGTTGCTATTACTTGTGAATCTACAGATGAAGTGGAGGTTTGTGGTGGAGGGGTTAATGAGTCTGTTGATTGTCTCAAGTTAAAGTTGGTTGGAACTGAACCTGAGCTGCTATTATTACTACTCTTTAAATTTGGTGAAATATTTGATATACTATTGCTACTATTATTTATATTTGATACAGTTATATTTGAATGTTGTTGCTGTTGTATATATTGTTGTAAATTTGGTGGTGGTTGGATTGGTGGTGGTAAAGGTTGTCTAAATAAAGATGAAGAGGATGAATTTGATGTCTTGATACTTGGTTGGTATCTACTTGTAAAACTATTATACTCTAAAAATGATAATGGATCACTATCAAAAATATTTGAAGTTATATTTGAATTACTATTGCTATTATTATGTGTTACTGGTGTTGGTGTGAGTACTTCATCAAAGAATGAGTGATCTGAAGAAGCTCCAAGATTTTTTGATGGTGGGGATGATAAATTTATTAATGTGTTTTGTGAACCAGTATTAATATTTCTTGAGTAATGATATTGAGGTTGTTGCTGAGTGTGTGGGATTTGGGTCGGTGGTTGTGGTGGTGGTTGTTGTGGTGGTTGTGATGGTTGTCTTATTTGATTATTTGAATTTGATAATAAGCTATCGGCACTATAATTTGATTTATTTATTCTATTTGCTCCAGAAGATTTATTTATTGTATTTGATGAAGTCGATGTAGCTAAAGATCCTGATGCATTAATACTATTATTGCTACTACCAATGCTATTTGATATACCGTTTGATGAATTTACACTATTCCCTATTGGATTACTATTATTTAATCCACTAATACTACCACTATTATTTATTGAATTACCACTATTTCCAAAACCTGAAGGAATTGAACTGTTAGTTGGTGATATATTCCCAATATTACTATTATTTATTGCTGCGCCGTTTCCAGGATTTTGTGTATTATTACTGCCAATATTATTATTATTTATTGTGTTATTATTACTATTATTGTTTGTTGTGGATCCTTCACCCCCAGGAGTACTTGAATTTGATCTAGAATGCTGACGAACGTGTCGTCGAATATATGGCGAGGTCGGTGATGGAGGAGGAGGAATTATTAATGAATTATTTTGTTGAGAATCCAGCCCTAACTCTTTAAATACTATAGACAATTGTTTAAAAACTATAGTATTATTTTATTTCTATATTTTTGTTTATTATTATTATTATTATTATTGTATTGCAATGTTTTAAAATTATTAAAAAATTTTATTATTATTGTATGATTTATTATTATTTTATATGTATTTTAAAAAAAATATTATTTATGATACTATTACTACTATTGTTATTTTTGTCCTATTAATTTTAACTATATTCTAATTATTATTTTTATTAATATATTTTTATTTTATTATTATTTTTTTTAAAACTATTCTTTTTTTCTTCTATATTACTATATAAATAATAAACTTATTTATTATTTTATTATTATTATTAAATAATTTTCCTAACCTTAAGATTTACGTTTTGAAAATAAAATAAATAAAGGGTTAAGGGGGGGAAAATAATAAAAAAAAAAAAAAATAATAAAAAAAAAAAAAATAAAAAAATAAAATTTAAAAAAAAAAAAAAAAATTTTAAAAAATTTTTTTTAATTTTTATTTATTATTTTTTTTTTGAAAAATAATTATGTTGGGGAATTATTTATATATAAAGTTTGAATGATAAATTATTATTTATATAATTATATAAATAAATATGTTATAATATTAAAAATTAATTTTAATAAAACAAAAAAAAAAAAAATTAAAATTATTTATTTATTATTGAGTGTGAGTTTTTTTTATGTGTTGATTTTTTTGTTTTTTGTTTTTTTATTATAATTTAAATCTGATTATTACAGTGTACTATGCACATTATATATAGTTTTTTTTTTTAAAAAAAACTTACAAAAATTATTTGATTAAATTAATAACACATAATTGATTGTACAATCTTAAAAATAAAAATAAAAATAAAAAATAAAAATAAAAATAAAAATAAAAATAAAAATAAAAATAAAAATAAAAAATAAAAATAAAAAATAAAAATAAAAAATAAAACTTTGTGCTATATCAAAAACAAAACTATAATACTATATATATTTATAGTTATTTTTTATATTATTAAAAAATAATATTTAAAACTAAAAAATAAAAAACAAATTCTTTTCCAAGATATCAAAACTATTCTATTGTTTTTATTTTTATTATAATAATATTGAATAAAAAAAAATATATTTGTGAGAACGAGGTTATGAGAGTATTTTAATGTACTGCTCTAGTGTGAGTTAGTGGTGAGTGTGTTAATATATTGTGTTGTATGTGGATGAATTTTGATGTTATGTTTATTGTTTCTTTTTTTTTTTTTTTAAAGAAATGTATTTTGTATAAAATGTATACTTTATATAGTACTATATAAAGTTATATGCGATATATATATATATA